CCTAAAAAAAGTGACAGCAAACTATCCCACAATTTACAAGCCCTAAACAAGAGCATATATAAGTCTTATCAGAAAGAAAAACAACAAAATAACAAAATATTGAAGCTATAATTATATGGATAGTCTAGATTTTCTCTATTTTATTGATGTCTATATTTTCCAATATATACTTAATTAAAATTTGTATAATATCTTCATTATCTTCTACAAATGAGATATTATTTGACTTAGACTTAAATAGAATAAGATTCTGTAAGTTCAGTATTATTTTGTAATATTATCACTAAAAAACAATATCATATTTTTATGAAATAATGCTCTTATATATTATTTTACAAAAATACAGTTATAGTACATATCTCTTGATATTTAATCATTTTATTTTTTGTGATAGCAGATGCATAATAATTTAGACAACTTTTAATTTCAGCATGCTAAATTTTTTGTATTTCAGACATAATAAACTGACTTAAAGCTTTATCAAGTTTAGGAAATAATGTTTGTGATAATATAGTAGCAGACGATGTCAATAGAATTTGTATCTTCCAATAAGTATACTTTGCTTTTTTAATCTTCTTTTCTATACTTGTTTCTAAGGCTTCAGCAAGTTCAAGTAGGCTAATATTAGAGTTTAAAACTAGCCTTTTAATCTAAGCATTGTAACTCTCAATACGAAATATTAATTATATATTAGCAGTAAAGATCTTTATAGTATAAGCATGTACTCATACTTTTTTTGAAAAATATAATGTTTTTAGATTCTTTACAACTCTAGACTCATTATATTTCTTAATTAACTGTTTTTATTTTTGTTCAAAAACTTCTAGAACAAGAGAATTTCTAGTGGTATAAAAATCTTAAACAAACTCCTGATACTGTTGATTTAACTTAACCTTAAGATTTCAAGAAAAGTTTTGTGATATATAGAATATACAATACATAGCATAAAATTGTTCATACTCCTCAAAGATTACAAGATTTAAAGCTGAATTAGCATCAGTTATAATAACAGCAGGTACATAGTCTCTAGTAGCCTGTTTTGTCTAATGTAAAACCTACTAATATGAATCTGCTAACTTATCATTTATAAGTGCATATCCAATTAGTCTAGAAGATCTATGATTGTCAACATATAAGAAAAGTAAGAAAGCCATATTATATTAGCTTGTTTTTGCGATATTATTGCTAAGTATAATATTATAATACTCTATCCAAAGGATAATCTGATCAGGAGACATCTAAAATAGCTTTTGAAGGCTATGTGATTCTTGGTCCCACTCAATTGCAACATACTATTGAGAATCTTTATTTTTTCTTCTTACTAATTCTTCATATAATAATGCAGTATTATTTAATATATCCTTTTGTTTTCTACTATAATATTTTGCTATTGCTTTATGAATTTCAGAAAGATAAACTTCATAGTCAAGAAATTTTTTTTGTAAAGCCTTCTGAATTTGTAGTAGCTTTAACTTAATAGTATTCATATAAAATTCTACTCTATCATATATTTCTTAAATAAGTCACTATTATTAAAAAATTTTATTTTATAAGAAGACAAGTCATGATTATAGCTATTGTCTAAAGTAGTAATATAAATATTTCTATTAGAATTATTCTTCTGCAGTTGTAACAAATTTATATGCCACAAACATTTGATATATTTTGTACTTGTTTCTTTAGTCAATTGTATGTTTTTAGATTTATATTCACTACTATGTTCACACAGCATTATTCTTTTTTGTATAGTTCTATTAAAAGTCTTTTCAACATGTCCTTTTTTTAGC